GCAGGAACAATTTCAGTTTCAGAGGAAAACCCCTGTATGGAAGACCTCCTTTTTATTATGGAAGCACTAACTTTAAACTGTTTTACTGCAGATAGGCAAGGACATGTCCCTAATTTGCCACCCTGACTCTGCGAGGCTAGATCTGTTAGATTAGTTTTGTTACCCTGCAGTTACTTCAACCAGTAGGATCTTGTTTTGTGGTCAGTGACGGCTCTTGAGGTGAAAAATTAATTGCTTCTATAAGCTCTTGCCTATGGCCATGTGCTTCGATTTGTCTTTCTTTGACATCACTTTTTGGCCTGAAGACATAATAAATCTCCACACAAATCTTGCATTCTTTATGCAAAGCTGCTACCCCTTGCTTAGACTAGAAATAATCTTTTTACTCAGTATATACATACTATTTAGTATAATGGGTCTATGACTAGGGCTCTTATGCAATGCCAAAAACTCCATGAACTTGCAAGCAAAAATTAATAAGCAACAGAGAAGCATAAAGTTATTATTTGCAGAGCTATACTGGAAAACAGAGCTGTAATAAAGCACTAGAAAACTTCCTTATAGGAAGAGTCACAGAAGGCTGCACCTATAAAAAGTAGCCCAATTCAAAGATAAATATACTTTACGGTAAAGAAGAATTAAAGCTACACATCTTTAAATTAATTTTTTAAGATGTCCCCGATGTGTTCACAGCCTCAGGATGTGGTTTCCTCTGGCTTAAACTACATCAGCAGCACTTCCAAAAGTGCAAATGCACAGTGGCCACTTGTAAAATAAATGGTCTAGTCCATTATCTAGGACTATGTAACTGGATACAATTTAACTGCATGTACTACCGTACAAAAAAAAGGAATATAAAAAGTTAAACCAAAGACTACAATGGGCAGAAACAGAAATATTAGGTTAATGGTGTCTGATAACTGGCAAGACCAAACTGTCTGTCCAAATTGGAACAGGTACTGTTCCAATTAATTATGGTTCCCACGGGATTCAAAGGTGCTTTGAAGACAACAGGCACTGACAACACTGGTTTGGGCTGTGAAGACATATGGAACCAGGGACAGTCAAATCCATGGTACAGGCATTGTAAAAGTTATCTGTTATCCTTCTAGTCTTTCTGCCTTTTGCCTCCAAGCGTGAGCTAGAAGATTCTTTATGTAGGAATTAAAGGTATCAGCACTAACCGATGGGACTCCCCTGTGCTGCAACAAACCAGTTATCTATTCTGTGGCAATTACTCCACTCTGGTGAAATTTGGCCTGATTTATACAGAAAAAGAAACAGAAAAGACACCACCACCAAAAAAAAACCCAACATAAAAACACACACGCACAAAAAAAACCCAAAACAACAACAACAAAAAAATCAGAGCCCTTAACTGTATAAAAATAAGAGCAATTAAAATTCATATTCTGTCCTGGAATCAAAGGGTGTGGAGCTGTGACTGAAGCACCCCTTTATTTCTTGTTTTCCAATAGACTTTCTCCTAAACACTTTTGCTTTGCTTCTGTGAAAGCAAAGTAATTACTGTTTAACAGTGTTATTGTTTCACTGTAATTGCAAATGCCGAACAAACCATAACAGCTAAGGCAACCACAATGATTACAAGAACCTGCATCTCCCACTGATTTGTCTAATGACACAATCTGAGTACAGCTACAGCATAATTAGAGGATTCTGCCCATTACTAGAAGGCTGAGACTTAAGGTGTCTTTAAGAAGGCAATTAGGGGATCAAAAATGCACCATGTAGTAAGTAACAGACCTAAATAACACGTCTGGATATCATGTTTGCTTTATGTCCTTTTAAACATTTGTTTGGTTCATCAACCGTTCAAAGAAAATATCGAATCTAGCTGGGATGGCTTCATGTATTTCAAAATAAAAGCAAAAAAAAAAATGTCATGTGTTGAACAAGAATTAGAAGTGCAAGGTTTTGGGGACTATAAGAGTTTAATTCTCACTGAGACAATTTTGCCACATAGAATTACTTTCTCATGTGCCAGATGACTCATATCTAGGTGTCAAAGGGGACTGTGACCTAGAAAAAAAAAAATCTTCTCTCACAGATGGTCACAAAATCATATGTCAGACTACCTTGACCTTATGATTTGCATTTGCTTAGTGGACTCTAGTCTTTACAAAAAAAGTGAAAAGGAGATAATACTGAGAGACCTCTAGTTCTGCAAGTCATGAATAATATTTGAGTATCTGGTCATTTATACATCAGCAAATACCTTTTTAGAGGACTGGAGGGTCTCTGAAGCTTAAGCCAGTTGTTCATCCTTCTGTGTATATCTGCAACTGGAGAACTGACATTTCCTCCGGTTCTTCCTCTTTATTAGAGACTATTTTCAAGCGAAAAGAAAAAACCCTCACTTACCATGCCGTAATTTTCCATACAAGTTCCACAGATATGTCACCAGTTGCCGCCTTCTGTCCCACAGTTCATTGGAATAATGTCCCTTTAAGCCATCCTTTCTCTTGTAAATGTGAAGCAAAAGACTGAAAGGGTACAGAACACCGGGCAGAAAAATCTCAGGTACAAAGAGCATTATAACTGACATTTGGATCAGCCAGAACCAGTGCACACATTGCAGAAAGTCGTCCAGATACTTCAGCTGAATCAATTCCTCCTATATATAAATTGCAGAGATAAGAGATTCTCATGTATGGCATTCATGTCTACATAACCCTTCCTGCTAAGAGAGAATACAGTACCTTGAGTTAAACACTCTCAAATATTTCTCTTAGCTTATCCACTACAGAAAGATGATAGAATTACTTGTCTTTTGTAACATGTAACTTAGAAAATTTTACTATGTTTAAATACTGTTCTTAATCTTATCATCTGTTTATAAACCAAGATCTTGATAAACTGCTTGTTTTCTGATTCCATTCAGATACATATATAATCCGATAATTTCCTCCAGGAAAACAGTGAAGGTTCTTTTCTAGAAGTTCTTACATAAACATATAATAAACCCCAGATTGACTCAGAAATATTTGCCTTATTTCCCCAGCACTTCTCATGCATGGTAAGGGAGACGTGCATGTAAGGCTGGAGCTCAGAATTACATGAGCAGGTAAGAGTTACTGTGAGAATATCTTCTATTTTATACACATTGTATGTATTTGCTTTTGTTTTATTTTTAATAGCTAAGGATGCTGTTCTCAGAATCCCTCAACTTATCGTTATTTGGTCAGTATCTGTTGTGGAAGTTAGCCTTGAAAAGGGATTTAAAAAAAAGGAAATAATGAAGAGCTTTAAAGTCAGCTGAGAGGCAAGGTCACATTCTGAGAAGCACAGATAAAAGCGGCAAAGCCAGGGTCACTGGAAAGCGGAGGTCTTCACTATCACCTAAGATATAAAAAAAAATAGCAACAGATAGGTCCAAGAAAGGCTTTGAAGCTGAGGCCCAAGACAGTGTGTGAGAGCAAGGAGCAAGGAGCAGAAAACAGGTGAGGGAAGCAGAAAAAGACGCGTTTCAGAACAGGAGCTGCCAGAGGAAAGCAAGGGCGGGCAGAGGAGGGCAGGCAGCCTGGGGAGCAGGCTACAGAGCCGCTGGCTGCTTTGGCTTCATTCGTGTGGATCAGGTAAATCATTTCAGGTTCCAGTGGAAGGACATATCAACCCCGTACCGACTCAATGTGAAGCAGTCCATTGTTTTCCTACAAGACAGGCTCCTTGCCAAGCACAAACTTAAACCAGCTTCATTACCTATGACTTTAAATCAGTAGCATCTTATCAGTGCATATTTTTTAAGGATGGCTTATTTTACTTTAGCTTAAGCATGTTATTTGCCAGTGCAAGCTAAACCGAAACAAGACTTGTTACAAGCATCTTTTTGCTAGTTAAAGTGTAACATTTTAAAATCATGTCTGCTAAAAATCACACTCCAAGGGCGCTGCCCTGCCTAGGTCAGACCTATCGGCTCGGTCGTGGTCCAAAGGGGATATCGCTACTGTGATATAGTACAACTAGAAAAAGGTCAGAAAAGAGCAATGAGGAAAACCAGAGGTTTTCTCTGGCTCCCAGAGAAGGAACATTGAATATGCCAGGGCTCGTCAGCTTGGAAAAGAGAGAGATTATAAGGAATATGACTGACGTCTATAAAATCCAGCAGCACAGTAGCTGAGTATGGATCAATTGTTCACTTACTCTTCCAATAAGCAAAGCATCACTGAAGCTGGGAGAAGCCACGTTCAAAATGAAAAAGGTGACTTCTCATGCAACAGCTGATAGACCTGTGCAATTCACTGCTAGATGATGGGTCCAGGGGAAAACTGGACAAGTATCATGAGGAGAAATCCGCTGTCTTACTAAACAGGCAGAAACCATATGCCATCAGCTGCAGATGGCTGGGGAGAGTACTAGGAGGCATTCCCACATGTGTCTAGCCTTACCCGCTGGTGGCTGCAGGATATTGGGCTTGGATATTATAAAAGAACAGTCATCTTGTTCTTCTACAAAAGTATTCTCTGCATTTCACTTGAAATGTATATTGTTTCCTTAAGAAGAGGAGTATAATAATTCTCAAAATATTTTGCAATTCACAACTCAACTTCTCTACGCTCAGCATTTGGCTGTTGCTAAACAATTTGTGTGGAAAGATTTTTATTTTGCTGCATTTTCAGTTTTGAAATGTGAAGGCGATGTAGCATCCTAATTGCAGACGCAGTTATACCCATATGAGTGCTAGAATTGGTGTAATCTTTCCCAGTATTTCTAAAGTATGTAATTACTGTAGTGATAGATACATACAAGTCCTGACTACTGACGGCGTTTTATATTTCTGGTTATATCAGATGTAAGATGGTGCGTGATTCAGGATACAACTAATTTTAAGATTTTTTTTGTAAGTGGATGGAATTTGTTGTTGGATGGTTGGTGCTACTGTCACCTGAACAGTCAGTCCTTCTGCCTCCAAACTCTTTGCGTATTTCCTACATGAAATGTCTTAAAAATCCTGTGGACACCTTGCATCCTCACGAGGCTGTATAGCCTTGTTACCCAAAATGTACTGATGCAAACGGAACGAGACAGAGCAGCAGACAAACCGCACAGCACATCATGAGTTGAATGTAGCTAACGTAAAGCGCAGTCAAAAGCAAACACCTTGCAGAGGGCCTAAAAGCAGAGCAGGCATGTATGATACACTTCTTTCTAATACCCTCCCAAGTGTCCAGAAGGCAGGCTAGCAGGTAAGAAGAGATCACAAAGTCTGTAATTATCATCTGAGAAATCCTGTCCCAGTGATGTCTAGGAAGGCTCTGTAATGGTCTTCAGAGAGACCTGGATTTCATGCATTTTACAGATAAGCTCTGAATAACCTAAGTAGAGCTGAATAGTCCATTGCTTAGTGTCTTACGCAGGAAATCTCTCAAATCTTACGCATCATCATATAAAGCCTCTGCAGTAGAGGCAAGGATAAAATCTAATTCTACAGGGCAGCATCCCGTGGTCCGCTCACCATTGCACCTTCCCCTCTCTCCTACCAACCTCCTATTCTAAACAGCCTCCAACTCTCACAACAGGTCAGCAGGTCTCCCAAATAAAACAGCCTCTTTCACACCACAACGATGTTTTCCCAGGTTATATCTGATCCGGCGCCTGAAGCAGGACTCCACAGGAAAGAAGTCTGTGAGCAGAAGACCGTTACCTGTATCACCGTACCGTATCACACATTGCTGCTTCCCAATGCTTTCCTCCCTCCCCACCCAACCTCTGCCCCCAGCGCCTCACTCCGACCTTGCCGCCTCGCCCTGCCTTCTCCCAGGCCCCTTTGCTCACCAGGCTTCGTTCTCATTTCGACTCCTTCTGCCTGCCCTGTCCCCATTCTCCCCTCATTTTGAGCTCTCCTGTTACTTCTGCTCCAGTCACCACTCCGCTATGCTTTGCTCAGGTTTTCCACTCCTGTTTTCCACTCCCGGTTTTTCCAGATTTTTGCTGCAATATCTTTTGTTGCAGATTTTTGTTGCCATGTCCTTTCCTCCCCTCCTTTCCCCCCCATTCTGAACACCATCAAGATGCAAATATCCCTCGTAGAGAGTCACTGAAAGCACAAGAAGTCATATAACCATGGCTGCCCTTACCCAGGCACCCCCAACTACAGCTCTCAAAAGCCCAGCTACTCTGGGCTGGGGAGCCTGGGACGCCGACAGGCAAAGCAGGGTGCTAAAACCTGAACCCCCAATTCGGGTGCAGCGCCTTGCTCTTTGAGCGGCCCCCCCCGCCACCGCCGCGGCGGGCGCCCCCCCCAGGCGGCT